CCTATAGGGAATCCCTTTTGGGTTTCCTCGTGTTGGTTTCGTCCTTCTAAGTGCTAGAAGTTGATACCACGCACGCGAAACCACAAAGGAGTACCGAAGCGGGTTGAATTTCTAGAATGAGACAGGTCCCACTTCTAAGGTTCTAAGATAGTCGCAGGAAGACCCCTAAGGCTAGATCCTAACTCCTACGAGGAATACTAGACCTCACGAAAAATTGAGGTCAACAGGTGGGGAGGATAATTATGTCCTGAGGTTGAAAAAGACACAGCAATCGTTGACATTTTAATTTATTAGAAATCAGAATCGAACTGTTTCAGCTCAAAAATGATTGGCGCAAACCCAATCAATAAATGCTATACAAACATGTGTACCTTTCCATGTTGGCAGACCACCCAAACTTGCCAGAAACCAGCACACAAGGAGAGGAGCTAAGCCTCTTTGAAACTTGAACCTTCGCAACCTTATCACCAAGTTGTTGCTTTAACCAATCACACAGGAGATTGTACTCCTGCATGTTCTCTCTTTCTTTTACTTCATCTTCATCACCTTTAGTTTTCCAAAATGGCAAAAAAACAAAATAAATTATTGAAAAATCCATGTATACAAAAAATATATATATACACATGAAGAGTTTCAATTACAAAATAAACTCACCCAATTCAAGATCTTCCTTACTAATATCCACAAATTTCTTCTCTTTGTAAGTCTGGAGGTTCTGAATAGCAACCTCATCGATCGGCTCAACAAGATACAATACCTGAAAAAGAAAAATAGTGATAATAAAGTTTAGACAACAATACAATGCAAAATTTACATAAAAAAATTAAAAGAAAATATCAGTTGCTAACCTCTATATCCTTCTGGACCAGTTTCTCCAAGAATGGGGCACTTTTAGCACTCTTAAGGCTATCTGAGGCCAGGTAATAGATAGCTTTCTGATTCTCAGCCATGTTTTCAACATACTGATCTAAGCTTATCAAATCTTCCTCACTCTTGGAAGAGTAGAAGCGCAGAAGAGGGCCGAGTCGCTTGTGGTTTCCGGAATCTTCGATACAACCTAACTTGAGAAGCTTGCCAAAGTTCTCCCAGAACTTTTTATAATCCTATATCATTTTGATTAAAACTTGTTAAAATAGGTCGCGGGATGCATTCAATTGAACTCTCCTTGAGCAGTTTCTACCTCTTTGTTCTCACTTTCAGATATCTCCTGAATCATATCAAATGTTTTCCGAACAAGCCTCTTCCGCATGATTCTTACCTGCATCATTATGGTAATGTAGAAAAAAATGAGAAAACGAATGCATATAGCATAGAAAGTTGGTGATGTGCAATACTTAGTTATATAAACATGACTGCAGATGTTGGAATTTAAAAAAATAAATAAATAAATAAATCTAGCATATGGTCCAACTGAACTAAGCTTGGCTCGATAAATAGCTTGTGTGCTAACCTCAATAAGCCAACCAACAAAGCTTGATCTTGCTCCGATAAAACTAATGAGCCAGCTCAAATTAAAATATAGGGGCATTTTCATACATGCCACCCAATCCCTATGTATTTACATATCTAACGCTTAAACTTTACTATTCACATTTATCCCACCCAAATCTTCCATATCACATTAAAATATCACAATTTTTACTTTTAAAAAATGAAATAGAATTTTTCTTGCATAAAATTATAAAAACGATATAGGTTCTGGTTGCCCCTACTCTCTCTCTTTCCCCCCACCCCAACCCCCTCCTCTCTTCTCTACAATTCACCGTCTTAGTCCAAGATCTCATTCATTCCATGATTTTCATTTGCACAACTAAAATTTGCATCAATCTTCCCTTTCATAAGAAGATGAGCTGGCTTGAGCTCATTGAATTAAGCTTGAGCTTAACCTGAAGGCGGCCAACCATGATTAGACTAAGCTTATACTCTCAATCTACTATTTAATATAGAAGGCATATAATGGCTTACAATTCTACTTTCTTGAAGGATCTCGCGAGAAACATTGAGAGGAAGGTCATTGGAATCTACAACACCCTTCACAAAGCTCAAGTATCGTGGGAACTGCAAAGGAAATCAAAAACAGAACCATAAGTGCTTCAAAATAAAATAAAAACGTAAAAAAATGAATTAAAATAATAATAATAAACATGAGATTATGAGTGGCTTAAGAGTCCCTCATGTTCCAGTACAACTTACCAGCTCGCCATCAAAATCATCAGAGATGAACACACGTTTGACATACAAGCGAATATTCTTTGTCTTGGGATTTACTATATCCTCATTATTAAGAGGCGCCATTCCGGGAACATAAAGAATGCTTCTAAATTCCACCTCTCCCTGTTTATAACAGCTTGTGTTAATGCCAAAATACAAATAGCCATAAGAACTTTGATCTTGTATTCTATATGACCTATGAAAGCTCCAACCTCTGTGGTGAAGTGAGCATGAGCTAATGGATCCAAGAACTCATTAAATGTCTTCTTATAGAACTCATTATATTCTTCCTTCTCAACTTCCTTGGGATTTCGCATCTGCATATGCAAAAAAGACGGCCAGATTAGTGCATAATAAACTTCTACGGGTCCATTTTCAACCCAAAAACTTACCCAGTGAAATCACTTTTATTTTTTATTTTTTATTTTCTATTTTCTATTGTTATACTGTTTTGTTTATGTTTTGATTTGAATTGAAGTATGTTTAGTTGTGGTAGTTGTTTATAGAAACACTCAAAACATAATTTAGGCATTTTGAATGTTTTTAAAAACAAAATATAAAAACATATAAAAATAACACTATCCAAATATATTTTAAAAAACAAAATTAAACACAAAAACAAAAACCAGAAAACAAAAGTTGTGCCAAATGGGACCTTAAAGTTAGAGAGGGCCGACCACCTTTAGTATTTTTACACCAGCATACAAATCTGGTGCGAGAGACTAAACACAATGCTCTCATCTGCCTTATAATATAAAATCTACAAAATGCTGCAGAAGTTTAAAAAAAAGATGCTTAAAGCTTACCCAGATGGGCTTAGTTTCGTTTGCCAATTCCCAATCCCAGTATTTTTCAGTGACAGACTTCGTCTTCTTCTTTTCACCCTGATGTTCAGAAAAGCAAAAAATTAACTTCGCTATAATTTACAGAAAGAAATATTATAGGCGCCCACTTTGAACAAAAAACCATACCTCTGGTTTAGCCTCCTCGCCCTCCTTTTTTTCCTCTTCCTCTTCAACCTGATCAGAAAAGAAAAGAAAAGAAAAGAAGGAATAAAACAAAAGAAAAACAATGAATAGAGCTCATGTACAAAAAACAAAAAAAAAACTCTTTATTTATTAGCCCGAAGAACACTCAAAAATCAAATCGGATTATGGCTCAGATCTTTGTCAAACAAACCAACTAATGAGCCAAGCCCAGCTTAAACCAAACACGGATCAGATCAGTATTGAAATATATAGAAATCAATCTATGAATGCATTTTTACTGCAATTTAAACCAACATCCAAAACCAGTAATAGCATAAATAACAAATTCAGAAGGAAACTCACCTCTACAGTCCTTGATTTCTCCTGCCATGTGTATATGGGAAAGGCTACAAACTGAGAATAGTTCTTAACCAATTTCTGGATCGTCGAGGGATCGGCAAATTCAAACTTGTCATCTTCCTATTAAAACCAGAAGATTTTAGGATTAGAACCACAGGAGTAGTAGAATCATCTTAAACTCAGAATAATAAAATATTATAAACAAAACTCAAGAATTATCATACCCTTAAATAAAGTGTAATTTGGGTTCCCCGGCGCAGTAACTTTTCAGAATCAGACTCTTCCTTGATCACATATGAGCTACTGTCAGCTACTGCTTCCCACACATATTGCTTATCGGATTTCGGACTCTTGGTCGACACAATTACCTATTTGCAGGTTTTGAGCAAACTCTGAACAATATAATTTAGTCAGATAACTAACATGTAATTTTTAAGTACCTTTTCGGCAACAAGGAAAGCAGAATAGAAACCAACACCAAATTGGCCAATCAAACCATTATCTGCCCCCACTTCCTTATTCTCCTAAAGAACAAATAATAACTGTCAATGCATGCAAAATGTAAATATAAATAAAATAAATAAATAAATTATAAGCAAATTCAACTATTAACTACAAAAGAAGAATCACAAAAACCTTCAATGCTTTCAGGAATTTAGAAGTTCCACTCTGAGCAATAGTTCCAAGGCAGTCAATCAGCTCCTCCTTGGTCATACCAATGCCGGTATCTCTGCAAGACAGAATTCATACCTAAAATAATTTGTGTTGAAATAAAAAAGAATTAATAGATGAATGAGTACTTACGTGATAGTAATAGTCCCATTATCTGGGTCAGGTTTGATTCGAATTTCCAATTCAGAGCCGTCGGCAACGAGAGAAGGATCGGTCACGCTCAAAAATCTCAACTTGTCCAAAGCATCACTTGCGTTACTGAATGAGGCAAAGCATTTGTAAAAAGTTTCTGAAGAATTTTTTTTCAAAGGTAGCACAAACCAAATGAAACATTTCATAGTCAAATAATTAAAAAAACTCCTGATGCAATTTCCTGAGCTAGTAAAAATGCAAGTGTAATCCATGCAAAGATCCCAAAGGACACATAACTTGATGTTCAAGATTTTTTTTATAATATTCAAGTTAGATGGTAGTTTTATTCATTTAAACATTACTTGGTTTTACATATTAAACTTTATTGTGTAATACATGTGTGAAATAGTTTAACTAAATTGCATGATAGTTTAAATATTTCGAAATGATAAATGAAATTTAGGTTAAAGATTCATAATTTTTTTGTATTGTGGATAGATATTGATGGGATCATTTTGTTTTTTAATTGTAAATACTTATTCGGAGAGGAACAATTCTCTCTTAACTGTATTATTCACATGTAGGGTACATATATACAAGGAAAACAATCTCTCCTAATTTACAAACTTACCATATATACAGGGAAAACAATCTCTCCTTTCATAATCTAAATTAGGAAAGGAAATAATTCTTAATGAAAAATAAAATAACATAGAATAGGAAGGGAATAAGCTAATCAAAGGTTAAGTTGTCCCAATCAAATCCTCCATAAGATGTTCTCTAATTTACACACTACCCCTCAAGTTGGGTCGTAAATGTTGTAGAAACCAAGCTTAGTATTGAACTCTGAGAAGGTGCTTAACTAAAGAGCTCTGGTGTAGACGTGAGCAACTTGTTGGTCTATTGGGTTGTAGCTTAGCTATACAATTCCTCCATTGGCCTTTACAGAGATGAAGTGTCTATCAACATCATATGTTTGGTCTGGTCATGATGCACAGAATTGTTGGCAATACTATTAATTGTTTTACTTCCATAAAATATTAGAATATATGCCTATTGAAAGTACACCCAATTCCTTTAACAATTTTTGAATCAAGATCCCTTCATAGATTCCCGATGTGAGTGTCCTATATTCTGATTTTGCACTACTTCTAGAAACAACAGCTTGTTTCTTACTTCTCCATGTCACCAAATTTTCCCATACATAGGAGCAAAAAATTGTGGTGAATCTTCTGTCGGTGACTTTCCCAACCCAACTAGCATAAGTATAAACTTTCACCTCTTTGTTCCTGATTTTCTTAAAGATTAATCCATAACTAGAAGTAAGCCTTCTTGACAAACCTCAGAAGTTTGTACAACTTCTTCAAATGCTCTTCATTTGAGTTATTCATGTGTTGGCTCACAGTACTGACAGAGTGTAATATACGTCCTCATATGTGACAAGTAGATGAGTTTTCCTACAATTTTTTTATATATTCCCTTATCCACAAAGACGTTTTCTTCTTCCCTCTTTGACTTGTGGTTGGGACCCATTAGAGTATAAGCAATCTTACATTCAATCATCCTTGTTTCTATCAGTAGATCTAGAATGCATTTCCTCTGTGATATAACGATTCCTTTCTTGGAGCTTGCTGCCTCCATACCTAAAAAATATCTCATAGTTCTTAGGTCCTTCATTTCAAACTATGGAAAGCACTTCATTAATCTATGTTATTACTCCAAGGTCAACCCATAAAGATGTTCTGTGATATAGCCAAACCGCCATTAATATTGCAAAGCATCTTGTACATCATGACAGAATCAAGCACATTGAGATTGATTGATATTTTATCTTCGAAAAGGTCAATGGAGGCATCATTCACTTAATCTACATCCCGACTCATGTTCAAGTTGCTAATATTTTCACTAAATCCCTACCTCCAGGTAGCATCACTAATTTGAATACCTAGTTGAGCCTTTTACAACATCTATGACCCAGCTTGAGGGGGAGTGTGGAATTTCGAGTTTCCTATTTTAACATTATTCTCTTTTTGTTATGTCATATTTCTTTCCTTCTAGAGTTGGTTTATCTTTGGTAAGTTATAATGATTGTAATTAAGTTTGTCCTAGTCATTCCTTATTATATAATGAGAGAGTTGTAATTTGATTATTGAGAAATAAGAAAATATGGTTTTCTTCACCTTTCTTTAGTTATCATCATAAGAATTGACTCTGATTCACATAATAAAAATAGGAAACATTGTAACTTCCCCGAGATGCATGCAAATCTAAGTCATTTAAATTGAAACAATTATAGTGTTAAACATCAAGAAAAAAAAATTTGCCAAAATCACTACTACTTACTGTGTTCTTAATTATATAAAAACCGTATTAGAAAATCCATCCAAATCAAGTATGAACATTCAAAGCTTATAGAACTATGAATCGGCTAATATCCCATACCTAAACACTAGAATAGCAAGAATGTGTTGAAGTTTGTTTTAACTAGTTCTCTAACTAAAAATGAACGATGGATGAACATGCAATACCAATATGTATATAGTAGATGAAAAGGATGGATGAATGGGACGGACAGCCAAAAAGTACCAATCTTAGTACAGTTGATAAGCAAGTGAGATTGACCGACCTTACAAGCTCTCGAAGAAACACTTCTTTGTGGCTGTATAAGCTATGGACAATTAAATCAAGTAAGCGGCTAACCTGCAACAACCAAAGAAAAATAAACAATCTATGATGAAAAGCTCAAACAAGTTGAGTTAATTGTATCAGGACAAAACTTGAGCACTATTAAAATAATTTCAAATAAAAATAAAACATCAAAATTAGCAATAAACAAAGTACAAGGAAGCAGATGGTAAATTTTATAATTGAAATGAAGAAAGATGATCATAGCATTTTTTTTCTTTCTTTTATACTTTCTTTTATCCATCGGGAGAGATCCTATCAGGCAACAATAGAGTTAAACTGACATCTCAACAGCTACAATCTTCCTTTATTTTATTTTTTTATTTTTTTGAATTTCATTAAATGACTCAATACCTACAATCTTAAAAGTTTTAGTTCAAGAATGTCAGCAAAAAAAAACAAATGGCATCTTTTATGACGACAATACTATGACTGGGATGTTAGCAAACTAAAATCTTTCTAATTAAAAAGAAAAAACAAGCACAAAACTTGACTCTGGCAACAGGATGGAGGAATACAAGGAATGATACAACCATGATTAAGAAAACAGAATTGAGGTCCACTAAATTAAACAGGATGGATGAAGCTGTAGAGAGTTGAGCTATGCTAGAAAAGGTTAAAGAGTATAATAAAAAGCAGATAATGGAAGAAATCTATGCAGGAGTTAATATATTATACTAATATTTTCCTATTCCTACTTATAATGTTGGTAGGCTTATGTAGGTTTAGACAAGGGTACAATGGTAAAGGTGTAAAATAGATCCAAACAGTTGTGGTGATAGGAGTTTGTTTCTCATCTACATGTTATTTTACAGGAAGCTTCTATGTCACGTGTTGCTGGTAGTGTGAGGTGCTTGCTGTCATTTGTTGTGATCACATATAAAGTGATAGTCCACCTCTTTGTTTAGTACTGAGATGAAAAATTGGATTGTGTGAGAGTCCATGCTATCATAGATGAAAAACTGGATTGTGTGCGAGGTCTAGAAGAAAGTACACCTCGACAACGCGGGGCATGATAAAACAAAACGGACAAAACCTTAATATGTGAGAGTTCAGGCATTCACAAATTGTTAGCGATAGCAATTGCGAAGATATTGTCACAGTAAATTGGTGTTGGAGTTCCAGAAAGAGCATTAAATTCTTATAGTAGGTAGCACAGTGAAAGAATGACAGTGGTAGCTATGGCTAGAAATTTGTATTCAACCTCTATGGAGGACCCAGACACAGTTGGTTGATTCTTTGCTAACTAGAAGATGAAGGTTGGGCCCTGGAAGGTATAGTAGTATGTTGTAGATTTTTTATCATGGGCATTGTTGACCCAATCAGCATCTGCATAAGATGTGAGGGTAAGCTCGTCGGCGATGATGGGCAGTTTGTGGTTGAGAGTGTCTCTGAGGTAGCGAAGAAGTTGTTTTAGGAGTTGAAAATATTGAGTGAGTGGTTAGAGCATGTATTGGCCAAGGAGATTGACAACAAAGGTTATGTATGTGCATGTGAGGGTTAGCATTATAGCTTGATATTGAATCGATACAACAAACAATAAAATAAGCAAAAAAAAAACACAGATTTCATGTGGAAACTCAAGACGAAAAAAATCATGCAATAAGAAGAGTATTCACTATATCAAATTTGAAATTACAAGTGGAGAGCTTTGGCCAACAAAAAACAAAAGCGGAGAAAAATGAGTACATTGTACAAAACAAAAAGGGGCATTTATAATTTTTAACAAACCCCTTTTAATCGAAATAATTAAAAAGACTCAATAGAACAACAATGTGTATTGTAATCTAAAGACTATTATAAGATTGATCAAAAGGTTGAAGCCTTCAATCCGCATACTTATGGTTTCTTTGTAAAGCCTCAAACAGCGTGCTCATAATTTCTTTCTAAAGCTTCAATCTGTGTGCTCATAATTTTCTTATAAGACAATCAGCAGGACCCCGAATTCTGTAGAAGTCTCCATCTTGAAACGAATTTTTAAATATACAAAATAAAACTTACTCTACCTCTTCCATCAAGCTCTAAAGGTCAACACAATGAATATCAACCAAGTCTAAGCAATGCTCAAACTCAACTATCGGGAGTGTCTTGCTCATTATATCCGTAGGATTATCATGGGTATCGATCTTGCTAACAATAATATCATCACAAGCAATAACTTCACCAACGAAGTGGTAATGAACATCAATGTGCTTGGTTCTCTCATGAAATATTTGATCTTTACTGAGACATAGCACTTTGACTATCACACCTTAGTGTGTCGATCTTTAAATCTTTATTGTGTTCTTCAAATAGATAGTTCAATCAGAGAGCTTCTTTGTCAGCTTCAGTAATTATCATGTACTCAACTTCAGTTGTAGATAGTGTCACTGTTGTATATAAAGTAGTCTTCTAGCTAATCGCACAACCACCAATAGTAAACATGTATCATGTAAGTGATCTTCTATCAAAATTTTCACCAAAATCTGAATCAACATAGCCAATAACTCTATTTGCAGTCCTCTCGAAAAACAAGCATCTTTTTTTACATAAATATCTAAGAATCCATTGAATTGCTTTTCAATTCTCCTTACCTGGATTACTCATATATCAGTTAATTGCACAAACTATATATAATAAATTTGAACAAGAACACATCATAGCATACATGAGAGATCTCCTTACACTAGAGTATGGAGCTCGAGAGATATACTCAATCTCATTATATGATTAAGAACATAAAGCTACTGAGAGTCTGAAATGCACGGCTAATGAAGTACAAACAAGTTTGGCATTCTACACATTGAGCCTATGCAGAACTTTCTCAATATACACTTGACTTAGAAATAACTTATCTACATTTCTATCTCTCTGAATCTTTATGCCAAGTATTTTTTTTATAGCTCTAAAATCATTCATTCTCACTGCTAAGTTGAGCTTTTAACATTTTGATATCTTATATATTCTTAGCAGCTATCAGCACATTAATAACATATAAGAGCAAGTAAATAAATGATTATTTATTATTTTTTCTTGAAATATACATACTATCATAATTACTTCTCTTAAACTCATTAGCAATCATGAATGAGTCAAATTTCTTATTTCATTGTCTAGAAAACTGTTTCAAATCGTAAAGAGATTTCTTCAATAAACAAACATGACTTTTTTTTCATCTAACCACAGTCTTCAGGCTGGTGTATATAAATGTCCTCCTCAAGCTCTACAAAAAATACAGTCTTTACATCTAACAGTTCAAGCACAAGCTCATGTTTAACCACACTACCGAGTTTTAATTGAGCTATGTTTGACCACAGAAGAGAATACATATGTAAATTTTGCACCTGCAATTTGATCGAATTCCATTGCAACAAGTCTTATCTCTGCATCTTCTACTCCTGGTGTACATTCCTTCTTAAATAGCCATTTGCAGTGAATAGTCTTCTTGCCAAGAAGCAATTTACCAAATCCCAAGTCTTATTTTTGTGTATGGAATCAATCTCCTCTTGCATAGCAATCATTCACTTACTTAACTCAACTGACTTTATTCCTTATAGCTAGAAAATTCTTCAGTGCGCTAAATACATTCAGCTATATTTAGAGCATTAGCAACCAAATCAACCTCACCATACCTATTAAACGGCTTAATTTCTCTTTTGTTATATTCTTAGCAATAGAATACTATCATGGTAGTTATCGTGGTAGTGGGAAAGCAACATCATCATGATTATCGGGATTTGACTTAGAAGTTATACACGAAGATGTACTTGTATAAATCTGGAACTCCATTTGTCTATGAGACATCTTCTAATCATCACCCTCACATTCTATGGTAGATGTTGTATGTCATATGGCAGACTCATCAAATATAACATCTCAACTAATATCACTTTCTTGATTTTTGCACCACAACTTATAACTTTTAACTTCAATTTTCAACCAAAAAATAAGCACCTTATAGATCTAGGCTATAATTTATCATATTATTAATGTGAGCATATGCAAGGCGGCCAAAAATTCTTAAATTAGAATAATTTGTAAGTTTACCTGCTCATATCTAATGTAAAGTCGTTTTTTTTTTCCAATAGCAATGAAAAGAGAGCGGCTCATCAAATAGCAAGTTGCAGAAGCAGTTTCAAACCAAAATGACATAGGTAGCCTAACAATGAAGAGTATACAATGAGCCTTCTCCAATATAGTCTTATTTGTTAACTCTATCACGCCATTTTAGTGAGGAGTGTGTCGAACTGTGAAGTCACTCATAATTTCTTCTTACTTGCATATGGCATTATTCTCCCGAACAAAACTCAAACACATTATCAATGTGAAGACGTTTGATTTATTTTATAGTTTGTTTCTTGATCATAAGCATCCACTCCTTAAAAAAATGTTAAAACACCACTCTTCTTCTTAAAGAAGAAAACATAAATCTTTCTTGAGAAATCATCCATTAACGTCAACATATATTTGGCACTATCTTCAAATCATACTATAGATGGCAACCAAAAATCAGAATCTATGTAGTCTTATATTTTCTTGATATTATGAATGTCAATATTAAACTTAACTCTCTTATTTTTCAAATACACAGTGCTCACAGAACTTCTATTTAGTAAAATGTTGACCATTTAAAAGTCATCTTCTACTCAGTTCAATCATCTCATTCTCAATCATATGACCAAGGCGTAAATGTCAAATTCTAGTTGTTTCATCATCTGATATAAAAAAGGTAGTAACTGTTGCATCACCTATCACTGCAGAGCCTTACAAAAGATATAGTCCGGCAACCTTTAAAACTCCACCTTCACCAGAATAAGCGTATCATTTAGAATCAAAGAGTACTTAATAAATTACTCATTTTTAGATATGGAACATGTATCACCTTTCTAAGTGCTCTGATGACTCCAAACATTTTGATTTGAATAGTTACAACACTGATAATCTTACGTTGAGCATTATCACACATAAACACGATAACCTACGACACTATTTCATATATTGAAAATTAGGCTATACTGGGACACGCGAAACACGTGGGCTGAATTAAGAACTCAATCATCACAAAGTTCAATATCATAGACAATTAAAAGTTCACCATCACTAGTAGCTTCTTCAACAACAATGACTTCACCAGAATGATCTAATTTTTTATTTTTTGATTTAAATATATTTTCTTATTTTTATTCTACAACTTGTAGCACACAGTTTTGATGTGCCTTTTTTTAGACAGTCATTACAGATCTAATGGTTTTGATCTACTCTTTTTATCAACACCAGAACTCCTCTCTTGAGTTCTACCTCGAACAACAAGGTCTTCTCCTTGAGCAATAGGTTCATCCACAAGTTGTCTCATCTTCTCTTTAAAAAATAGAACATCTTATACTTCATCTAGAGTAAGTATTTATCACACATACAAGATTTTATCTCTAAACGTTATATATGACAAAGGTAACGAGCCCAATATGAATAATGTCAAATCTTCTTTGTCATACTTAGCTTTTATAGCTTCTAAAGCAGAAATGATTATCTTAACGATGATTAAGTAATTTACAATAGATACATCTTTTGTCATTCTGTGAGAAAACAAATGCTGCTTCAAATGCAACTTATTCGTCGGACTTTTCATCATGCATAATGACTTTAATTTCAGAAATAACACGATAGCAGTCTTCTCCTTCAAAACATTCTATAGAATTTGATTTGATAGATGAAGATGAATTTGACAAAGAGTTTTTTTTATCTTTATGTTGCTTCACCTCCAACATCCATGATGAGGGCATCCTTTCAAAACCAAGTAGCACATCATCTAGATTCATTTGTGCTAAGACAGCTCGCATTTTAATATGTCAAAGCAAAAATCTAGAGTTGTCATATAAAAGAAGGATGTCGTACTTCATTGTTGTCATCGTCGAGATCAAAACTTGGCTCAAATACCACTCGTTATAACTTCATATTGAATCGATGCAATAAACAATGAGATATGCAAAAGAAAAACATAGATTTAATGTGAAAAACTCAATATGAGAAAAACTACGAACATTGGAGAATTCATTATATTGAATCTGAAATTAAAAGCGGAGAGCTTTGGCCAACAAAAACCAAAGGAAAAAAGTGAGTATCTTATACAAAATAAAAGAGGGTATTTGTAGTCTTTAAAAAAGGCCCCTTTAAAAAAAATTAAAAAGAGTCAATAAAGCAATAACACACCGGTTGCAATCTAGAGGCTATTATAAGATTGAACAAACGGCTAAAGTTTTCAATCCACATGCTCATGGTTTCATTCTAGTCTCAAACTGTGGGCTCATGGTTTCCTTTTAAAGCTTCAATCAATGTGCTCATAATTTTCTTATAGAAAAAAAAGCAGGACTCAAAAAATTCGAGTTACAAATTTAGCTATTAGATACTGAAAGAATTCAATAACGTGTTTGTATTATTTAAGGTCTAGCAATGGAATTGTGGATGTGCTGAGGGAGAGCAATTTTGAGGGTAATAGAGTGACAACAAGTTTGAAGTGTAGCATGTCCGATATTAATGATAATGTTATTGATGTATGATGTTTGATGACGAAAGTACTCGGGGATAATATGGTGTACTTGAAAGCCTAAGAATTGTGAGTAGGTCCCATTGAATTTTTTGGCTTTTATAGCTATAGGAGAATTACCAGTGACGTGAGTGTCATCAACATACACGAATAAATAGAGGGCTTTGTCATTATGGTGATAGAAAAAGAGAGACGGATCTACAGCGTTGAGGTGAAAACCATGATTCGGGCGGTGAGTGCAAAATGTGGTATATCATTGTTTGTGGACTTGTTTTAGGTCGTATATGGCTTTTTGTAGCTGGCAAACACTATGAGGATACCGTCCAAATGGTGTGACATGTATACAAGTTCATCAAATTTGCCATGGAGAAAGCCGTTAGAGACGTCGAGAAGTTGAACTGGACATTCATGAAATGTTGAAATGGTGAGAAGGATGTGAATGGTAGGAAGTTTCTATGGAAATTGAGGCCTTGTAGTTTTTTGAATCCTTGAGCTACAAGTCAAGCCTTGTGGCAAGCAATGTTACCATAAGCTATATAATTTATCTTGTGTGTCCATTTGCAACTTAGGATACTAATTTCCAGGTGTCCTATTATTGGAGGGAAAGGAATTCAATAAACATTGCTTCCGTCCAACGGGAAGTTGGGTAGCTTTAGTGAAGCACGTAAGATCAGAAGAGGAGGTGTTTGGAAAGATGTGATGGGCTCAATTGAGAATTTTTTTGGCTTGAGAGAACTTGCTTTGGAGGGATTCACTATGGGGTGAGAGCAGGTAGTTGAAGTAGCTTGGATTGATTTTGGAGGGATGACTGTGCAATGGATGTGTTTGGTAAAGGCAGAGAGTAGTAACTGTGTTAAAGTAAAGGGGCTGGATGTTGCAACTGTTGGATGGATGTTAGTTGTAGGTTGTTGGCTGGAGATAAGAGTAAAGGGTATGATTTGAGTTGGCGTTTGAATTTGTAGTAGATGTTTGTAAGGAAATGTGGTTTCATTACAGATGACATGTCTAGTGATGATGAGCTTCCTGGAGTGAGGTGGTCGTAACTGCAGTAGCCCTTGGGTTGAGAGCTGTATCTTAGAAACACACTAAGCTGATCTGGGGGATAGATTGTAAGCTGCTGAAGGTTGGGTCTAGTAAATCCTGAGCAGCAAAACGTGCGTGGATGCGTATATGCTGGTTTCTTTCTATACAGTAGTTGCTATTAGTGTCAAGATTTTCTCCCAAGGCAAAAAAAAATTTAACTTGCAGGCCCATAACGACAAACAGAAAATTGTAACATCAATACAGCATTAAAACCAACATATATCACCAAAATTTTCACAGAAAAAAGGAAAAAAAAAACAAAGAACAAGACCACACCTCAGCCTGGTACTCGTATTTCTCACCCCCAACCTCCTCAGTTCTCTCCTTCTCTGCAACCGCCGCTTCGCATCGAACAGAAAAGCTTCCATCTCGCTTCCTCCCAAGCTTCCAAGTCAATCCAGAGATTGAAAATTCTTTTCTATTGTAAAGAGGCTGAGAAAGAACCGAGCTTTGGAACCCAAAGGCTCTGCGGGAAGTGAAGTTTGAGGAGAAAAGCGACGGTTTAAGAGAGGACACTGCGCCAAGAGTTCTGCTCCCAACCGGCGCCATGAAAAAGAGTTTGGCTTTCTTGTTTGTTGTACACGCTTCGGCTTTCTGTGGATAAGAGCTGAGGAGAAGCAAACCCTACCGGGGAGAGGGAGGGTTTTAGGAGAAGATGAGGAGAGAGAATGAACCCGCGGATCTCATTTTTTCATTAAACCCCCCCCAACATTTTGTTATTTAACATGTTTCTATAAATTGGAGAGTCAAAACCTTTCTAAAATTAACAGTAAAGAAATTATTTCGATCACCGCAATTAAATTTTATTTTAAAAAAAAAGTTAAAAGTGCGGCCCACCAAAATATAATTTTACGGTGATCGACAGTCTAGATCAGACACCGCATGTATCTCTGCATACGGTGTTCGTATGAAATAATTTTTCGCCAAAATCCCCCCAACATTTTGTTATTTAACATGTTTCTATAATTTGGAGAGTCAAAACCTTTCTAAAATTAAGGATAAAATCCCTCGCCAAAATTGAGAAATTATTTTATACGGGTGTCCGATCTCTACTGTCGATCACCGCAATCAAATTTTATTTAAGAAAATGTTAAAAGTGGGGCCCACCAAAATACACTTTTACGGTAATCGACGGTCTAGATCAGACATCGCATGTATCTCTGCATACGATGTTCGTATGAAATAGTTTTTCGCCGAAACTAGCCTATTTAGAGTTGTTTTGTAATTACTTTTTTTCGAATTAGTTTTGGAGTTTGTTTGATTTAAATTGTAAAATAAATAAATAATGTGCATTTTAATTTCCTTTTTTTTAATATCAATATAAAATGATTTTTTAAAGTTTTATTGTAATAGAAAGTACTTGATCAAAAGAAAGTGCGGTGTTTACATACATGTCACTCAATTCCTATGTATTTGCATATCTGACACCAAAATTTTACTTTCCAAATCTATGCCACCCAAATCTTCATATAATAACAAAAATATCACCACTTTATGTTAAAAATGTGAAATGCATAATTTCAAGCATTGATGAGATGGCATGTATTTGAAAATTGGGTGGTATGTATGTAAATCTTTGAGGGAATTTGATTTTAAGCCACATTTATAATTCCAATTTCATCATGAATTTCTCCAAGAATAGCTTGTTTTCCCAAAAAAAACTGGTGCCAACATGCCTAGCTTTGCTGACCTAAATTAGCCCATGATGATGAATCTACACACTATCTAGGATCCATGACATCCATATGATATTGAAGCTTATGTGACATCCCTTATATAGCTTTAATCCTTTACTGCCCCCAAGCAGAAAAAAGTCGTTTAGGTGAAATGATGGTTAGCTCGCCACACTAGATAGCATCATAGCTAAGGTTGTCAAAACAGCTCGTTGTTCGCGAACAACTTGTGTTCGGCTCGTTCGCTAAGTTAACGAGCCGAACTCAAACAACACAAATAAATATTCGTTCGTTCGCGTTCAGCTCATTTTGGCTCGAAATACTACTAATCAATTAATTTTTTGTAATATTTTTAAAAAGTTTAATTAAATACAAGGCTACAAAAGATTTATAATCAATAAAAAGTATTAATTAAGAAAGAAGAATAAAAAATATTAAATTAGATTCAAATGATGTTTTAATATAAATAATAATTTTTAAAACTTGCTGAAACCCTTATTGTCTTATGTCTTATGGCTAAATGATTAGGGTTGTTAAAAGGACACTTTGTTCATGAACAGCTCGTGCTCGACTCGTTTGCTCGAGGCGAACACGAACACACTTTTTGAGCTCGAAATATAAACGAGCCGAACACGAGCTGAGCTTGGCTCGCTCGTGTTCCGCTCGTTTACACCCCCTATGTGCATCCCTTAGATAGCTTTAATCCTTTACTAACTTAATATATCTATTGACTTTGACCAAATGTCAATGATTAATTATGTCAACAACTGATAAACAATGAATGACAATTAATAGGAAATGTTAGAATAATATGATGGAATGTGGTCAACATTGTCAAGATAAAAGACAATTCAACCTAGATGATAAGTATTTGATGATGATGGATGGGAATGTTGGATGATAGTCATTGATAGGCATTAAGTGATGGTTGGTAAAAAAATATCAAATTTAGGCAATGGTGGACAATAAGCTTGTTCATTCACTTAATAAGTGAAAACATTTGGAGAACAAAACAAAATATTTGTCTGTTTTTATTTAACAAGCATCAAATATTGATGAGCAATATAAAGATTGATAACACCAAAATAAATTGAGTGTTGATAGGAAAATAGCATGATCATTATCATGATATGAAGTGAAAAACCACTGATAAGATGCACATCAATTGTTGGAAATTGACAGATGTAACGTGCAAAAAAATTGGTTGTTATCAAATGAAAATGAATAGAGAACATCTAATAATAACATATGATGGTAGGTGGTTAGCTTGGTAATTCTTGTAGTACAAGAGAGTATCAAGGGACTAACAAGAGGTAAACTTAATCGATGGCTGGTAGATGTTTAGTGAACATCAAATAATTTAAATGATATTGTGTAGTAGGTTTGGAAATTCTTTTAATCAGTGGGGAGAATAGAATACTAGGAATATATGCATCAAATTTTGATGGTTGATGGTTGATAGGCATTGATCCTTAGTAAGCATCAAACATCTATCAATAGATAATATTAATATAACACATCATGATCATTATTTTCTTAATTATTTTAAAGTGTAAATTTTATGTAGATGTAATATAAATTATTGCATTTCCTAATGCCCTTATAAATTTAACTTCTTATGTTATATTATATTATGGACCAATGTGTGTTGAGTTGTTTCTTATTTTATAGGCCATTTTGGGCCTTTATAGTATATAAATAATGGTAGGTATAAAAATATTTATAGGGTTGATGGAAAGTAATAACTTGTTAATAGAATTAAATTTCTAGGTACGTTTATATTTTTTGATCACTCACATATATTTTATGAGTAAAAAGTCTCTTGCAATACTAATCACTTGATTACTGAATAAGTAGTTATTTCCTAAGTTGTTCTTATGTACTTTTCACTCCTAGGTGAATGACAATTTGAATATGTAAATTATTAGTCTTATAGAAAAACTTTTAAGGAAGCTGATCATTCATTGAGATTGATTTCAGATCATCGTTATTATTTTCCATTTATAGTCTTATATTGATCATAGTTAGTTCATACATAACTTTATTTTTTTCTTTGGTTTTGTAACAACTACACTTCAAAGGTGGTTGGCATGTAAAAAGTTTAAAGTAATGCACCATTGTTAAATGCTTTTGATAGTATTTGTGCTCAATAATAGTCATGTTTATCATCATTTGCTTAGTAATTAAAGGTTATCATTGTAATCATCCAATTGCATTTATTTAAAAATAATTTTAGTTTTTCATGTAATACTTTATAATTTCTTACATCAAATTTAATAAAATAAGTATTTCTTTTAAAATACTTTTTTATGCCCTCGAGGAATTTTCTAAGAGAAGCTCTACAAATGTCCTTAGCATTGTTTACCGTGAGATATCTAGAAGTTACTAGACTCAAACATCCTCAAATCTCCTTAAGTGTTTTCTTACAAATGTCTAGGTGTTAGACTGAAACCAATTGCAAAAGCCTTGCATGATGGCAAAAGCAAGGTTATACGGCTACTGTAAAGGGTAAAATAACTCACATGCTGAGGAAATAATGTTAGCCCATCATTTTCAGCCCAAAATGGCGTTATAACACCAACACATATTTAAGGTCATAATCTCAACGGAAACACTAAAAAATAAGTTTATATGAGGGGAAATGCAAGAACTTAGCATGGATTTTCGATAACAATATCATAGTCTAGTTTTTCTTAACACATAATGTAGGATATTACTAGAAAGGAAGTCAAAAAGGAAAAAAAAAATCACCTATGGGACAATTGAACAATATTTAAAGCTTGTGATAACAACGAATGAAATTTTTGGTGTTGAGAAGCTCCACCATTAGGGGGAAGATTAACCCGAAGAGGCAAGAAGAACTTGTATGCTCTCCCAGTTAGAAAATTGGTTGCAAGAAACTCTAAATTCTCACTCCTATCAACCTTTCCAATTCATAAGGTAGAAAAAATTAACCATTCTCCAACCCTTAGGCTATCCCTATTATAAGGGAAAAAGTAGGTGCAACACTGCTGCTTCGGACTTGACATTGGGGCACTATTGACATGAAAAAGGTCACATCAGGTGATAAGATAGGGTGCATGGCTCAAAACGTGACTCATTTCATCTTAGACATTATGTCTCGATTGAAGGTTTTGGTGCTACTAACATGACAGAAGTCATGTCAACAGTCATCATGGTAGTTGTCCAATCGGAAGTCGCCTTCTGGACCCCAGCTACAGGGTTTCCTAGTATCAGACTTGGCATCAAGGTGTTGTTGACATGTCTAGTGCCATGTCAGTGCTTTACAATGATGTTTATCAATCATCACTACAGGTTCATCCTATGTCCAACCTAGGTCCAACCCATGTCTAATCCTGGCCCAACCCAGGTCAACCCAGGTTCAACCTTGGTCTAACCCAAGTCGACTAAGGTTCAAACCAGCTTTAACCCAAATTGAACCCAACCAAACCCAATTCATACCCGAACACAACTTCAACTAACCATAGTTGAACCAACTAACCTTAACTCACCCTCAGCCCAAGTCTAAATAGATCTGAACTTAAATCATGTCATGCAGTACTCCATGTGTACTGTGTTAAAAATCATGTTTTGCAATCTAAATTTTCATGTATCATGTGTGGTTCTTTTTGAAAAACAAACAAAAATAAAAATGGATAAAAAAGGAGTAGGAGAACATCTTACATGATGGTTCTCCCCTAAACATTTAATAAGACATCAAAAACTTAAGAATAAAACCAAATGGAGAACAACAACCTAGAAAACCAATTGAAAAACTATAACTTAGGAGGGCATTGATTTTCATTTTAACTGACAAACCTAAAATATAAAATAAAACACAAACTAAAATATTGAACTCCAAGAAAAAATATAAATCTACCAACATAAAGAATGAAAAATAAACTTAGGTAAATCTGACACATACTCTATGTTAACTAACTTAAACACAAGAATCGAAGATCGCACACCTACCCTAGGTTAGTCTAAGTATAAAAACCTAGATTAGTCTAATAG